ACCCGAGGTCACAGGACAATATAAATTACATATTCGAACTCAGCATTGAATGGGCTTTCAATTCCAATCAACAAATCAAAAATGCCAACTTAGGAAACTCATAATGCTATTATGACAGTATCCTTTTCAGTTCGTACAAAGAGTGACATTATACCCTATTCATTGTGTAAATTATTCCAATAATAATGTTTAACTAAAACGAATATTCAGTAATATATTTAATATAATATTAATTAATTATATGAAATTCATTACTGTTTCATAAAATAGCTTAAATTAAATGTATAGACTAAAATGTCAAATAAACAGATATTACATTGCAAGAAAAGAATGGTATATTCCGGTTATATGGAGGCCTAACCCAAACATTAACAATTTAACATTTCATTACCTTCCGTCAATTATATCGTATGAATCAAAACCAAAAATTTGTGAACCAATTAGTGATAAACTGTAGATATCTATTAAATGATTGTAATCATAGCCCATAGCTTCCGGTGCTTGATAAGAAATCAACCCGACGTCTGCCGTATGTTTAGCTTGAGACATAAGAAACGGATCAGAATTTGTGACCTCTTTAGCCAAACCAAAGTCACATAACTTTATGCTTCCGTCCATTGAAATCAATACATTATCCGGTTTGAGGTCTCTGTGAATTATATTATTTTGGTGCAAATATTGCACACATTCTGTCAATTCATAAAATATATGATACGATATATAAAACTCAGGAATAGTCATAAACTCATGAAACAATGATTTCTTAGTTTCCAAAACATTGTTGAGATTATCGATACATAACTCCATTTGAAAGTAAAGACAATTGTCTTCTATCCATGAATAGTAGTATTCAATCACAAACTCTGACCGAAGTTTCACAAGATGTTGGGTTTCATTCAAAACATTTTGTTTCTCTTTTTCTGACAAACCTACATATACAGTGATTGCAACTTTAGATGGTTTCAATAAAAAAAAGATTAAACTATCAAGATGATTTTTAGTTTTATTGCCCATTTCACCAGAAATGCGGAATCTTGTGATTTCTCATCTGAATTGAAAATTATTCGGGTGTGACCTCTGGGTCAGAGGTTATGACCAAAAAACAGTTACCGAGGTTACACTGTACATATCTACGGATAGAATATATTTTCTATTACAGAAATAAACATTTCATTATCCCTGACCATTTTGGTTAACTTTTTGATAATATATAATTATCATGAATATTTTAAATTATTTATTCAAATCGTGCTAATATAAGTAATTGAAGTTTATTATATTGCAGAGTAGCAATGGCAAGTTTTTCTGGAAAATTTGATGTGCAAACAATACTGGACGATATAAATAATCTCATAAAGGTATTAACAATTTGTGTTTTATACTTTTAATCAATGTGATTTTTAACTAGAATGCACCTGTGGGACTCAAATCAGCCGCTCCGATCATTGCGACCAAATCTGGGGAAGTCATAAAAACTGCGTTTGTATATTTCAAGGTATACGAACCACTGCAAAAAATCTACACACATTTAGCAGCCGGCGTAAAGGTTAGCCCCGAAACTGCCAAAAAATTGATAAGCAAAACGGTCGGTACGAAAGTTATCGCCGAGAACAAGGACACCCTATTGAAGGCCATGACATCGGATGAGGCGTGTCATGAGGTGGTGCGTCAAGGGTTGCAGGACGCCATGGGTTCGGTTGCCAACAAGATATTGGGTATTGGACTTCTAGTGGGCTGCATCAGCGCCGCTATTGACGGCTACAAAATCTATGAGTTTTGGAAACAAATCAAAGACGCCGATAACCTTGTGGAACGATGCCCTGGAAAGCGAAAGGAGATTTCTGAGCAACTGGATGACATAAAGCCGCTCGTGGCCAAATTGGACAGGGCGTACCACGATCTGACAAGGAGCGATATCGCAAAAAATGATTTTGAGTGCGCAAAAGCCGCTGTTGAGTGCTATAGCCAAATAATCCAAACTAAAGTGGGCAAATTTTTAAATGATATTAGTAAGCGGTGGACACTATTACCGTCATATTTGAATATAATGATATAAAAAAATTTCTTTTCAGACGACCTTCACTTTGAGGTTAATGGAAAGACGGAGAAAATTAAAGTTGCTCGAGATGTTGCTGTTGCCGCGTCCATCACTAGCTTTGCATCAACCGGAGCTGCGGTAGCTAATGCTGTTGTACTAGGGTCCTTTGCCAATCCAATTCTTACCGGTGCTACAGTAGTATTAGGAGTTGTTCACGCTGCACTTGCAACTGGTTGTGTTATTTTGAGTGTCATTTCTTCTGATACTTTGGAGAAACTCCGAAAGGAGGTCAATGAGATTGAAGAAGTCAGAGCCTTGGGGTTAAAGATTCAGAGAGATGTCAATGGCATTATCGATAATATGAATATAAAACTTAACAGTGAATTTGATTTTAGTAAATATGACTAATTTAATTTGGTACGTATTTAATGCGAATGATATTAAGTCAGAAAATTAATTATTTTATTGTTATTAAAATTGAGAAACTTTTGTGATTAATGTTTACTTATGTTATAACACCTAAAATTAATTTGATCAATTTCCAAAATTTTTTATAAATTTTAAAATATTATATAATCTATTTGACTAAACTGGAGGGTAATATTTTCAGAGTAATATTTATAAAGTTATACAGTAATATGTATATTAAATAAATGTCCATATTACAAGATTCCACAATTATTACTACAATAATCTCTGTGAATTTGGTGAATGTTGTAACTAGTACTACTTTTACTAGCGTTACTAGTACTTAAATATAATTATGGGTATCTATTGGCATCCCCAAACACTGTGAAAATTGAGCCTGTTGAACACAAAAGGCAAACTGAGCTTGTTAAACCAAAAAGGCACAATAAACTAGTAATAACTGGATTGAGCAAAGATGGTAAGTGTTTATAAAATAAAACTATAAATGTAATTAACTAAATACTTACGCAATATTTTTTAATTTCAATAAACCTCCCTACTTAATTAATCATTTAATAAGGCTAAAATTTTGTATGGCCTGACCTTAACTGACTCCCCTCCTACAGTTATTGCGTACGTACTTATTGAACTTTTTTCTACCATACTGCAAAATTAATCACTGAGCTGGTCAAACCAAAACCAAATCAAATAACTGTAGGTCCCACTACAATACTATATAAGCTAAAACAGGGCCTGGATGATCCGCCACACCACAGGCGACGCACCCGTCCAACGCTATTTGACACCCGGCGATGCACAGGGAGGCCGCAATTGGACCACTCTCTACATGGTGTGGAGTGCCGGTCAGGAGCAAAGTGACCATGGTGACCATCAAATATCCACTTGCAGTCTTCATTGTTTAAAAAATCTAATGCATAATAATATTGATATTATAAAAAAATGTATAAAATATTTATAAGTTTTATAAAATACTTATGGAAATTCTTTCGTTGGAACTAGGTTACGTTGAAGTTTCTTAAAAGTACGTTGAAGCACTTGTTAGTTTATTGTCAGCTAATTTTGAACATTAATAAGTAATGTTTCTCAATCCTCGGTATTTATACTGTATTACAATTGAACATATTACAATATTGCATAATGTAGTTTAGTAAACTGCAATCATAATTAATTGTTTTAATTTTTATAAAGGTATCTAATGCTTTATACCCATACTGTATTAGTCATATTACAGTAATATATTGATACATAGTATTTCCGAAATCCAGATTCTGTATATAAAACTTTGATTATAAACGATTTTTTGCAAACATAAATTAAATTTATAGGTTACAAGTTTTTTCATTAATGCATTTCAATGTTTAGTGATTTTAAAATAAACATTTATTTCCGTAAATTGATATTGGTGATAAGCTGGTAGACATACACAAAATTATCATTGATACCATATAGTATGTGCACTTTAAATTGCAATTTATGTGAAATTAAGTGACATTAATCATCAGTGTTTATAAAACAAAACACATTCCGATTGTATGACTAGTAGCAACTGTAGATAAATGAAAATAATTTCATATTTTGTTAAAATATCTAAACTATTAGTCATAAATTGACAATATTTTAAAAAACGGAAAAAGTTTTCAAATTAATGATTAACACAATCAAATTAATACAAATGAGTGGCATATTCAGGGTACCTATGCTCTGATCGGTGAGAGGTTGTATGAGGGTCTTAGCTGGATAATTTATAGCTCTTTTAATAAATACTACACTTTTAAATATATTCTATAAATTTATTAAATATCAACATTATCAGATTTATTGAAATATATTTTAAATTATATAAATTAATAAGTACCAGTTTAATTCAAATTAAAAGTACAAAGTGGTAAGGTAATTGATATAAACATATAATTATTATTAAACTTAATTATTTTCAAAATTTTATGCATAAAATCAGGGTAACCTACAAGTTAGTTAAAATAAAAATATAAAATAATATATGAAAAAATTTATTAAAGTTAAATGCTTAAATAACAAGAGTTAAAAACAAATGCATATTAAATTCTCAAATTCCTAATAGTGTTAACCATAGAATTAAACTTTTTTGATAACCACGATGACCTAGGCAACTCATTGACCACCACTTTAGCGTACTGATGGCACTGGGCCTTGAACTGCTTCTGGACGTCCAACATCTTCCTAATTGTTCCGCCACTGTGTTTCAATTGACACAATTCACGGATACTCTCCTCGATATCTTTCACCGATATCTCGGACTTTCTCGGGCCAGCCCTCTCCAATTCCTTCATAATGACGGCCGACTCCTTGTTATACCTGTCCAGCACTTCCTCCAACTTTTGAACCGTAAGTCGACTGTCCTTTTCGGCTACACTTCCGCCCCTTTTCTCGTTTTCGATCAAATGCTTGACATAATCGCCGAACGCGTCGTTAAAAGGGGTCAAAGCGTTATGTTTTAGGAAACACGCGAACCGAGCCATACATGTGCTGATAGTCCGGGTCTCATGCGATAGTTCACTCATTTTAGCCTCCAGTTCCTTGATTTTAGACTCTTTAGCCTCTACTTTCTCCTTATCGTTAGTGATCTTTGTCAATTTAGTCTTATCAACTACCTTGATGTTTTTCATTTGTGTTTCGTAGTTAGTATGTAAATGTACCTGTTTAATTAAAGTAAAATTATTAGTAGCAAGCAGATTTAAAATCGTAAGCAAACCTGATAACTATGGCCACAATTATTACAGTTTTCTGATTGAACGCGCTTGGTTGGTGTAGCTTTAACTTTACCATCGGAATTAATCTCATAACTTTGATCAGGTTGTAGGTTGCTCGGGTCGACATAGTTATCTGGGCCAGTGCGCTCGTACTTATTAAACGCTTGACAATCCAACAAGCCTGTATTACCCACCACATTACCATCGTCGGAGTTCAAGTAGCATGGTGAATGGCAATAGGTTTTGTAATGGGTCTTGATGTTACCTGTCTCATTCAATACTTCGCAACAATTTTTGTGCCCACACACTGTTACTGGTTTGTACAGTAGGGTCGACACTACTTCCACGGAAGGGATATATAGCTCTTTCTCCAGTTCCTCGATAGAGCCCTTGTGTTCACGTATACGGCGCTTATGTATCTCACATTGCTTTTGGTTATCGGCGATGTTCTTCGCGATGTCAGCCAATGGTTGAGTCAATAGAAGTATGTTTTGTTTGGCGTTATTGAGGGATAGGGTGTCCATCACTTTGTGAGGATTTAGTTTTATAATCCGATCCATTAGTCGCTCGCATTCTTCTATTGAACTGTTTTTTATAAACAAATAAATTATATTAATAAAGAAGTTTGACAAAAAGTAGAATTACTATATTTTTTTCATCAAAATTAATAGTTTATGCGTTTGTGTACATAAGGATCCAGACGTTTTTTGGACAAAGGTATAATTTTAAATAGTTCATAATATTAGCATATTATTACAGTTTGTTGATTTATTTAGTAAAAGTAAATTATACGTAAATTAACTTAAAACATAAGTGTCATAAGCAAATCAAGTGTGAACATTATTAATAAAATTAAAATTAAAAATCATTTTGTCCTAATCAAGTTAAATTATTAAAATAATGTAATTAGTATACCGTTTCCAACTATTCCGATAATCGCGTTGAAAGTCATCACCAAAAACCATATTATTTGGAGGACCGGTAGCCACGGCGTAACGAAAGGCCTCGTTATCGAAGCAATAGATAGTATCCCGGCTGTACTCTATGTCCACATTGGGAGGCCTTTGCTTAATAACATCTAACAATGCCATTAATGCCGGCCCCGACTCTCCCGGTGCATAGTGAGTGGACCGGGCGTTAGTAAACAGGAACAGTATGTTATCGGCCGCAGACTTATTTAAATTACTAAACAACTCAAACAAACAATACTTGAAAACCACGTCAACCTTAGCGTTGTTAGGCTTTAAGAGCACACAAATGGCGTTAATTTCCGGATAATTAGAGATAAATTGCAACAGATTTCTCATATTTGTCTTATCTTTATCGATGCCACTAGTGTCGGCAATACCCGGAGTATCGATGATGTTGAGCACAATTGAATCATTAGTGAATTGATAACACCGGGGATACTGTGTGGCCGATTCGGTGGTGTTTTGCGTGTTTTCATTGGTGTCGACCGTACCTAACCTAACTGTTTGGGACTTATAGGTTCGCTGATCAGCGATCGTAAATGAGACGGGTATTAGACATCTGGGACTACGACTGGCCTCATCCAAGGTCTCGTAAGTCAAGTAATTGATGAACGCGTTGATGAAAGTAGACTTTCCCACACCGGTCTCACCCAGTAATAAAATAGTTATATTTCGTGGAGTCTATTAAAAACAATAAATATAATATTATAATCATTTGCATAAATATATAAATAAGTTTAAAAATTTTATTTTAATAAATACATTGTTCAGTATTAAAAATAGTTTAAATTATGAATTTTATTCATTGCTTACAGTCATTGTAGTTGTAATATTTACTGTATGGCGAACAGTAATATTATGTCTAATGAGTTAGTTAATATATTTATATTATTAAATTATTACAAAATCTATTCCAATAAATTGAAATCCTAATTTAATATTTATTAAATTATTTAATATAACATATTAGTCATGTTAATATACATAGTCTGGAATCCAGTTTCTGTATATAAAAACTTTGTTAGTAAACGAGTTTTGCAAACATAAATTAAACTTATTGGCGATAAGTTATTGCCAATCAAGTTACAAGACTTATAATTTCAGTGCCAACTCATTACGTGTTTTCATAAAGTATTTCAATGTTTAGTAATTTTAATATAAACTTTCATTTTCCAAAACTAATATTGTGATAAGCTAGTAAACATACTGTATACATAATTTGCATAGATATATGTTTTACAAATTGCCACTTATGTGATATTACGTGACATGAGTCGTCTGCGTTTATAAAACCAATGCCATAAACACATTCCGATTGTATGACTACTAGAGAGACAAATAAAATTATTTCATAATTTACTAAATGATTTAATCTTTATTTAGTCATAAATTCATAATATTATTAAATCACGTGGAAAGTTTTCAAATTAATAATTACATACAACATTTGTAATCATATTTTGACTATTTATACGTAAACATTGACATTTTCAAACTTATAAAATTATTTATAGTCAATTGAAATCCCTAATAACAATTGAATTTTAAATTTTAAAATATAAAATTATTTTCAAAAGTTTTAAGTTTTAATTAATTATTATAAATAATGTCCGCAAAAGATTTTACCCTGTTATTATTGGGTGAGTCGGGTGTGGGAAAGTCCACATTCATCAACGCATTCGTCAATTATATGACGTACGAGACAATGGATGAAGTGAGAGGTCAACCCCTGTGTGTCATTCCCGTCTCATTCACGGTAACCGATCCACAGACCTATGAACCTATGAAAGTAACTTTCGGTGGACTCGACGCCAATGAAAACACTGACCAGCCGTATAAATCGGGCACAGAATATCCCAAATGCTATAAATTCATTAACAATAACATTACGCTTAATATCATCGATACCCCGGGTATTGCCGATACGGAGGGCGTGGATAAAGATAATAAAAATATGGACATCTTATTGGACTTTATTAGCAATTATCGCGATATTAATGCCATTTGTGTGCTATTAAAGCCTAATAACACTAAAGTAAGTGTAGTTTTCAAGTATTGTTTGTTACAGTTGTTCAGTCACTTGAATAAGTCTGCGGCCGATAACATACTGTTCCTCTTTACCAACGCCCGGTCAACACACTACGCACCGGGAGATTCGGGACCGGTA